ACTTACTGCATCCATACAAAATTAAGGAATCATTTAAAAAGAGACTTATGCAGGTGAAATAGAGATGTTTTAAACTTTCTAATGAACAGGCTTTTAAAAAATTGATCTTATTATTATAGAATGACAGAAATTGGCTCTGTAGTTAGGGTAGTTAAGCACTGGAATAAATTGTCTAGGGAGATTGTCTAACCTGCTCTTAAAAATCTCCAATGATGGATATTCCACAAACACCTGTGAGGGATCATCTAGATAATACTTAGCCCTGCCATAAGTGCAGGGGACTGGACTAGATGACCTCTCAAGGTCCCTTCCAGTCCTACAGTTCTATGATTCTATGATCTTGGATGTAGATTCAACTTGGCAGTTTCTGTATGGGGAGCTAGAAAAGAATCTGTAATAAAAGTATCCCAATAAAATGGAAAAGAATTACAGGCTCATAGATCACTCCTGAGATACTGAAGTTATTTGAAAAATGAGCACAACTATGGAAAATGACCAACATCCCTTCCCCAATAATTTGGGTGGTTATCAACCATATAGCTAGTGTACCCAGTGATCACACTTGCTGAGCAAAACAAAAGGCTGTATGTTATTTAAACAAGACACTTTGAATTTTGTGTGACATTAAGACATTCTGGAATAACTATTAAATGTTGTGTGGAAGACTTTGATGAAATTTTCAATATGTTTAATATAGAGAGACAATAGGGAAATTGTAGATCTCTCTAATAGTTATTTCATTCAAGCCTGTCTTTTGGGGAAAATGTTCATACCTATAAAGATCTCCAGAAGTACCAGATTATGACTAGGTTTGAGGAGCAATCCAGACCAGTGAGGGGTTTTGTCACCACTTGCCCTGCAACCCTGGGTGCCTTAGAGTGCTTTGCTGCTGTAGCTCCCAGCCTGGGATGCTCACAACTAGCCTACAAGCATACATGTCAGACACTGAAGTGGCTGTGTGCTAGACTACCCTGGTTTAGCAGCTCTGAGCTCCGCAGCCTGTCTACAGTCCCACAGCCCCACTCTGGCTTCCACCACTCTTGTTTACAATCAGCAAGGTGACCCCAACACACCTCCAGTCCTGAATTTTCCCCAAACCATGTGCTCTAGAATGTTCAACCCTCTCCTGGACAGTTCAGAGAAATAATGTTAGTTTTTTTCCTTTAATGACACAGAACACATCACAGCTTATTAATACTGGGGTAAATACACTCTTCCCTTCAAACACAACACTGAAATAAAGTAAAAATAAAATAACTTAAAAAATAAAACAAAAGGCCCGCGCCACTTTCCACAGCTCCCATTGGCTGAGCACGGCGAACCATGGCCACTGGGAGCTGCGGGTAGCTGTAGAAATGTAAACAAATTGTCTGGCAACCCTCCAGGGGATTATCCTGATGGGCCGCATGCAGCCCACGGGCCACAGGTTGCCCACCACTGCTGTAAACCCTTTATATGATGGAAATCATTTCAAACCAGGGGGTGCGGTAGCACCCCCAACACACCTAGTTCCAGCACCTATGCTGGCACCTGGTCTGCCAGCCTCACACCCTGCTTAATCTCACTGGAGACAGCTAGATAGCTGCCTTCTCTCCTATCTGGAAGGATATCTGTTTCTCCCCATTTGGCCACAGATTTTCAAGCATAATATAATTAAGTATCCATATTTCCTCATATATATTACATACATTTCACAATTATATTAATCACCATTTTGTCTTTAGCTTACAGAAAAGACCTCAGTCTGTACACTTTCATAATACAATACAATTGTATAAATTGACTCAATTGCTTATCAGTTGAGGTTCAGAGCCGTTATCTTTATAGACCAGTAAACCCCTCAAACTAAAGTTTATTCAAGCTGTGAGGAAGGTGACATGGAGTCTAGTGGTGAAGGAAGCTCCATGCTCTTTCTTCCCCCATTTATAAGCTTAATAGCTTTGTTTACCTAATTTGTAAAGGGACCTTCATTGTCTTTGCCTGAAGATTGGGCTGGTTGGAGAATCAAATATCCTTTCCATTGTCTAAGGCAGATCGGTTTATCAACTCCCCTGACGTGTGTTTAAACACACTTTAGTCATAATTCTACCATATATCCATAAATCTTAAAATTCACCACATATATACATCGTGAAAGAATATTAATGATCAGTGAGTTAATTTTCAAATGATACCTTAAAAGGCATATTTTGTACAAAGATTATTATGAAAGTGCACAGGGTATGAATACAGGGGTGCTTAGTGTCACACACACAAAAACAAATCAGATCATGTAAAAGTGCCATTACTTTTTTGTTTATGCTCATGAAAAAATGGACAAATTGGAGAAAGTCCAGAGGACAGGAACAAAAATATGAGGCTTAGTAAACAGGACCTATGAGGAAATGTTGAAATAATTGGGCTAATTTAGTCTAAATCAGAGAAGGCTGGTGGGGGGACGGGACACATAATGAATCTTCAAATATGTAAAAAGTTGTTACAAGGAGAAAGGCGATCAATCGTTCTCCATATCAAGCAAGGATAGGACAAAAAGTAATTGATTTAGTTTGTAGCAAGGAAGATTTAGATTGGATATTAGGAAAAAGCTTTCTAACTATAAAGGTAGTTAAACACTGGAACAGGTTACCTTCGGAGGTTTTGAAATCCCCCTCACTGGATGTTTTAAAGAACAGGTTAGACAAACACTTGTCAGGGATGACCTTAATCCTTCCTCAGTATGGGGGTGGACTTGAACAATGTTTCTCAATGATCGGTCCGTGGACGAGCGCCAGTCCCTGAGATTTCCATGACACAGTTTAGGAAGGCAACAATCTGGTCCCTGGTATCAAAAAGGTTCAGAAACACTGAACTAGATGACCTCTTGAGGTCATTTTCAGCCCTACATTTCTATAGTTTCTATGATTCTATGAAAGGTTCACAGACATGAGTCCTGGTTGTTAGAATGCTAACCTGGGACTCAGATTCAGCTCCCAGCTCTGCCACATGAGAACATAAGAATGGCCACACTGGGGCAGACCAAAGGTCTATCCAGCCCAGTATCCTGTCTATCGTCAGTGGCCAATGCCAGATGCCCCAGAGGGAGTGAACCTAACAGGTAAATGATCAAGTGATCTCTCTCCTGCCATCCATCTCACCCTCTGACAAACAGAGGCTAGGGACACCATTCCTTACCCATCCTGGCTAATAGCCATTAATGGACTTAACCTCCATGAATTTATCCAGTTCTCTTTTAAACCCTGTTAGAGTCCTAGCCTTCACAACCTCCTCAGGCAAGGAGTTCCACAGGTTGACTGTGCACTGTGTGAAGAAGAACTTCCTTTTATTTGTTTTAAACCTGCTATCCATTAATTTCATTTGGTGGCCCCTAGTTCTTAAATTATGGGAAAAAGTAAATAACTTTTCCTTATTCACTTTCTCCATACCACTCATGATTTTATATACCGCTATCATATCCCCCCCTTAGTCTCCTCTTTTCCAAGCTGAAAAGTCCTAGCCTCTTTAATCTCCCCTCATATGGAACCTGTTCCAACCCCCTAATCATTTTAGGTTTCAGAGTAGCAGCCGTGTTAGTCTGTATTCGCAAAAAGAAAAGGAGTACTTGTGGCACCTTAGAGACTAACCAATTTATTTGAGCATAAGCTTTCGTGAGCTACAGCTCACTTCATCGGATGCTACAGCTCACTTCATCACATCACTTCATTCATCAGAAACCCATCTATCTATGTTTCCAGTGATCTAATCTCCCATTACTAACACCTGCCTTTTCCTAATGACTGGAGTTCCCTCCCCTGGAGAGGTAACTTCAGTGTGACAGGGTACTCCCAACATCATCTGGAAGGAGGGTCCCAACTATGGGAAGGTTTCCCTCTGTTCCCGTTGACTGCTCTCCTTCTCTGGGCTTTTCATCCTCCTTAACAGCACAGGGGCTGTCCCACCGGAAATGGGACAAATCTACAGTGTCCCAGAAAGCCTCATCAGCATACCTCTCTGCCTCCCTTAGCTCCTCCAGTTCCGCCACCCTGGCCTCCAAAGCCTGTACACAGTCTCTGAGGGCCAGGAGCTCCTTGCACCGAATGCACACATACGCCACCTGCCCACAGGGCAGGTAATCATACATGTAACACTGAGTGCAATAAACAGGATAGCCCCCACTCTGCTGCTGGGCTTCTGCCTGCATTCTCTCCTACAGCTACCTAGGTTAATGATAGGGTTTTTGTTTAAATCAAGAAGTTTTGATTTAGTTTAGTTTAAGGGTTTTAAAGAATGGCAAGTGTACCTTGCCCCCTTTCCAAATTCCCTCTCAAAACTCTCTGTTAGCAGTCCCTGGTCGCAACGCTCCCTGGTCACTTGCTCACTACTTTATAAAGCCCTGGCCTTCTTGATAGCCCCACCCCCGACTAAGGCTCAGCCAATGAACGAAGGCTTCTAGATTTCAAACCTTGTTTAGAAGCTCACAGCTTCCAACTGCCAGCCACAGCACACAGTCCTTCAAACGAACAAAACAAACAAACAAACAAACACAAGCTCAGCACACAGCAAGTAACCCCCAAACACAAACACACACTACAGACAGCCACTTACCCCAAGGGTCCCGTATTTGCTCCTCCTTCACCTGGAGAACTCCCTCTCGAAACTCCCTGTTAGCAGTCCCTGTTTGCAAAAGCATACTTCCTGTGTGATCTTGTGCAAGTAACTTATCTTCTCTGAACCTCAGTTCACCATCGGTAAAATGGAGATAATAGTACTTCTTTACCTCACAGGGGTGTTGTGAAGATAAATGCCTTAAGGGTTGTGATGTGCTCAGGTACTGCAGTGATAGGAGATATACAAGTAGCTAAGATAGATGGCACTGGAGATTTAAATCCTCTGCTGAGCCATAGAACAGGTATCACAACCTTTCCCACCAGTGTGCCTCAAAACTGACCTGAAGGCATCATCTTTAGGGGAGAAAGAACAATGGAGTCTTCTTGCTAATTCAGTCCTTGTACTCTCTCTGCCAGGTTTGCCAGTCGTTACCAGCTGAGATCACTTTTGTGATGGAGACATGTCTTCTCAGAACTGGACAGAGACCACCAAAGTCATTTCACATACTGCAAGTCACCAAAGCACCATCAGATGGAATGGCGTTTAGTCATTACTGACCAGGGCTGGATATGAACAGCTGTCTCAGGGCAGTGCTGAATTCAAGGAGAATTCTTCCACTGTAAATATTAAATTTGTTGAAATACATTGATGCAACTAAAGCATTTGGAAAAAATTGCCCAAAATAGTTGCTAATATCCTACATGAGCCATTGACAGAATGATTTATTCTGCCTTTTTATTAATGGAAAGTCCGTTAAATGGGAATGTTGCATCAATTATTCTTATCACGAAGCCTGGCAACCTCTAGGAAATTTCAAATTATCAGATAATTTCACTTCTGCCTAATATAGCAAATCTTCAGAAAATATAATTTAATAAAAATTATGGCATTTGTAAGTACTCAAAACATTTCCAGTTGTCATCGCTTGGCATGAGTCCAGCTTGCTGCACTGGTTACTCTTCTCATGAAAGTGACTGATGATATTTTTTGGCTATGGAGCATGGTAAGAGGAAAGCTGCAATCTTTTGTAGAATTATCTAAAAATGAGCCTATTAAACACAATATTTAATTCTAAAAATTACAGAATTTAGCTTTCCTCAAAATAGCCTTGCATTGGCTCTACTCTTATCTTTCCAACAGAAAACAGGCAGTGGAAATAAAAGGCCTGATCCCGGCCCCATTTCAGGAATGCACATAAGCATTCCCTGAATTGGGACCCTGATAGATGCTGAGCACCTGCAGCTCTCAGATCTGACCCAATTGGTGTGGACCTGATCCTCTCATGACATGACCTCAAATTTGACAATCAGCATAATTAATGACATAATCCAGTTTAAACCCTCAAGATAACTTTAGTGTCACATTGCCTATATTTTTTTAAAAAATCTTGGGTAAAGTCTACCATTACCTCCAGGGGCAGAGATTACCCAAATGCTGATTATTACCTTTTGATGGGGGGGAAAAGACCCTAAAACTACAGCTTATCTGCATATTGAGTTCCCATTTAAATCAATATGAGTTGCATCTGCAGTATCCTGTGTATTTAATCTATATTCTTTTTTAATTTTATAGGATTGTCTATGTATTTTCCTGTTGCTGCTTCTAAATTCACACAGAGATCCTTATTTGATTTTTGTGATCCCCTTTTAGGTACTTGTATACTGCAGTAAGATTCCCTGTAAGGACCTCTCCTCCAGATTGCATAGCTTCATCTGCTGTTTTAGCAAAGACCGTCCATACCCGTATCAGCTTAATAACCCTTCTCTGTATCTTCCACAGCTGAGTTTGTTCAAAATAGATTGGCTGATCAGCATGTGTTTCAACATGAATCAAAACAGCAGGATTTGGCCTGCAATCAGCAGTGAAAGGCTAAATAATATTTTTATAAAAGTCATGCCAAATTAATAAGGCTATGATAAAACATTATGAGCCAAATCCATCCTCGTTCAACTCCACTGAAGCCAATAGGGTTATAGCCGAGATACATTTGGCCCTATATATTAATGTATTCTAGGGTATTTATCTTTTAAGTTGCAAGTGTATCGCCTGGTGGTGACAGCTTCTGCTGGATAGCTTTTCTCTACCAAACCCATGCCACTTCCACGTAAACTAACTGGCCACATCATAACAGCTTCTTCCCTTTGAGAGCCATGTCACAAAAGTGCCAACTCCTTATCTCTTATTAAAAAAACCCAGAATAATTAATTTACATATTGTTTAAAAAAACCCTCATTACTAATGACTCTACTATATCTTAAAAATCACTCCAAATCTCTCATAACTTTTATTAAGGCCTGTTCCTGCTGGCATTGATGCTAACAGGAGTATTACCATAGATTTCAATGGGAACTAGAACAGGTCCTAGCTGTATAATAATTAAAATAATTTCCAACAGAGGAAATATGTTGAAATTTTTATTTCCTAATTTAAGTGGTAAAAAAATTGTACGCACTGCTTGTGGGATTACCTGGATGCAGACTTTTTGCATTGGGCCTATCTAGTATGGTCCAACAGGGGTTTGTCCTGGGTCTGATATGATTCAATATTTTCATTAATGACTTGGATAACAGAGTGGAGGATATGCTTATAAAATTTGTGGATGATGCCAAGCTGAGAGGAGTTGCAAGCCCTCTGGAGGACAGAATTAAAATTCAAAATGCCCTTGATAAATTGGAGAATTGGTCTGAAATCAACAAGATGAAATTCAGTAAAGACAAGTGCAAAGTACTATACTTAGGAAAGAAAAATCAATTGCACAACTACAAAATGGGGTATAACTGGCTAGGTTGCAGTACTGCTGAAAAGGATCTGGGGGTTATAGTAGATCACAAGTTGAATATAAATCAACTATGTGATGCAGTTGCGAAAAAGGCTAATATCATTCTGGAATGTATTAACAGGAGTGTCATATGTAAGACACAGGTGGTAACTGTCCCACTCTACTAGCAGTGGTGAGGCCTCAACTGGAGTACTGTGTTCAGCTCTGGGTGCCACACTTTAGGAAAGATGCAAACAAGTTGAAGAGAGTCCACAGGAGAGCAACAAAAGTGATAAACGGTTTAGAAACCTGGCCTGTGAGGAAATGTTAAAGAAACAGCTCAGCATGTTTAGTCTTGAAAAAAGAACACTGAAGAAGGACCCGATAATTGTCTTCAAATATGTTAAGGCCTGTTATAAAGAGGATGGTGGTCAATTGTTCTCCATGTCCACTGAAGGTAGAATAAGAAGTAATGGCTTTAATCTGCAGCAAGAAGATCCAGGTTAGATATTACAAAAATCTTTCCAACTATAAGGGTAATTAAGCTCTGGAATAGGTTTCTGAGGGAGGTTGTGGAATCCACACTACTGGAGGTTTTTAAGAAGAGGTTGAAAAAACACCTATCAGAGATGGCCTAGTTATACTTGTTCCTGTCTGAGCGCAGGGAATGCTCTTCCAGCTCAGAGCAAGTGTTGTTTAATAATAGCAATGGTGTTTAAGCTCCAGGAACAAACAGAAAATTTGGTCCTGCTTACGCTTGCTCTAAATTCTTTCCTTCCGAGAAACTGAGAAATAATAATGTGTTAAGCAAATATTGTTTTGCTCATGGAATAGCAAATTGTTCCACTAAAAAGATTATGCTGTTATGTTGCCGAATCAGGTTGGCATTTTTTCTTTTCCATAGTGTGAAATGTGCATTAACAATAATGATAAATGAAGGGTGAAGGACAGTATAATATTTTATTGCCACTCCTGCACTTTTGCAGAATGACTCATTATATAATATTGATGTGTCATACATGTAGCTACTTTAATATAATTGTATTATTACTGATTTGTGCAGGCAATGGGCTCTTTGCCACTCTTTACAAATGGCGTAGATGAAACTGGAGGGCTTTGTTCACCCACATGCTATTTGAAGGTTTATTTTAATGAAGACATAATGTAATGAAGCAGAATGCTTTTCCTGCAGAAGATAATGATAGCGAATGACAAGAGGGTTTTAAAGCTTAAATCACTCAGTAACACATAGAAATGGATGAGTGGGTGAACATTAATCTGTACTGTGCTGAGCAAGTTTGACAAAACAGGTTAACTCACACTCCCAAAAGACCTAGAGGCCAAAATGGGGAAAGCTTTCAAAAATTCTGGACTGCGAAGCATACTAAAGATAATTACAGCCATGTGGCCAAACTTTCAATTTATTTTCAGTACTGGCCAGGGCCCATAAAAGTCATGCTGGGCATAGCTAAGCAATGATTTTGTAGCCAACTTTCATGATTTTTATCATAAGTCTCGCAATATTTGGTGTTTTTCTTAAAGCCTGAGGTCTTGGAGTTGCATGAATACATGAGAATCTCAGCTTCCATTTTTTAAAAAAGTAAGTTTTAGCTCTTATGACTGTAGAGAAAAGTTTAAAAATGTAACCCCAGTGCACCTTAAAGACTGGAAAACCAGAAGGCCAATAAAAAGAACTCAAAATTTAGTATGTTTTAGAAATCTCATGGTTTTTAAGATAGCCTTATTGTTCTTTAGGGACTAACTCATGGTTTTGTTAACATTTGGCGTTGGCAATATTTTAATAAACACATCCTTACAGAGAAAGCTTTATTTTGTTGTTTGTAAGCTCTTTGGGGCAGGGCCCATCTCTTTTTTTTTTGTGCTTTTACATTGGCTAGCACAATGGGGTCCTGGACCATAACTGGGACTCCAAGCCATTACCACAATATAGATAAATAAAGGAGAAATAAATTTGCACTGGTGTTGATGCCCAACATGACTAACTTTGAGTGGTGTCTGCAGCGAGGATTAAAAAAAGCATGCAACTCCATATTGTTTTGTGGGTAGCAGTGCCTTGTAATTCTCTGGGATGCTAACGGCTCAGCTATGTAGGAGATGTGAACATGACTCTTCCACTTTTTTCTTGACAAAGGCTGAGTATCTTAAAGAGGTGATGTACTCAGTCTCTGGCAGAGGGAGAAGGCTGAAGCATTGGCAGAAGTTGTGTGACTTTCTTTACTATTAAGAAGTAAAGGGCTGTACAGATGAATGCTGACTAATAGCAGAGGTAGGGAAGTCTGGGAATAAAAATGGGGTGGGAGGAGAGAAATGGGGAGCAAGAGAAGAAAAATGATGCTGAATTGATTTGGGCGAGGGCCAGGTTTTCAGCTTGTGCTGCATAACTCATTTTAATTAATCACAGAGTGATTTTTCTGGTGAATATCTACAAAGACAAGTATTTGAAATGGCTCGTTCTCAACTGACAGAAGCTGATACAATTTGGGAATGGTTGCACTGGTCATGTAATTAGGTTCTGACAATACCTGCTGCATACTGAATGCTCAATGCTGCCCGTGGCAGTGGAGATGGAATGCGTTTGTGAAAATTATGATTAGCAGAATATAGTAAGTGACTTGGGAGAGGTAGTTTTGAATCATATACTTGGTTGCCTACTTCTTAAAGAGATTGCAAAATGTGATATTTCCAAAAAGGATTAGTTAGACAATGAAAAAGATTAAAACCTTATCAGGCAGCTCAAGTCAGAGAAGAACTATTGACAGTCTCCTTCCCTTATCGAGATATGTATAAACAGAATTAAAAGGCTCTTTTGCTGCTGGAGGGAAATGTAGTAGGATGATCTGATTGGGATTTGTTTGCCTAATATTTCCTCATGGAAAACACTCTTGTTACCAGCTATTTTTAGATGATGTTTAGGCCAATATACATTAGATGTTACATTGTGCACTATGGAAGATAATGTTGACACAGACAGCAATTTGGATGTATATTCCCCTCTATGCTTTGAAATTGCTCTTAAGAATGGATTTCTGGGGGAGAGTCTGCAGCTGGGAGTTCATAGCGGCCAGGCTGATGCTATGGGGAACACGATGTACTTGAGTACCCTATGGTTGCATTGGTCTTCTATGCAACTGCCTCAGCTTTCCACAGGTGTCCTGAGAACTGTGGGATTTCTCCAGACATCTCAGGACATCCATGGATTTAGTGGGTCTTGCCCCTGCCTGTTTAACTGCATGATGCTCTGGAAGAAACTCTGCAAATTGAAATTTGTGATTTTCATTACCTCTATGCAGGTTTTCTATACAGATTTATCTTTGTCTGAAAGCACTGGCAATTGGAGAGAAAACTGGTTGTCAGTACTGGAGATGCCACAGCCTCAGCTGGTGGCGAATATTTAGGAGCAGTCCATTATGTGTTCCATAGTAAGAATCTCCTCATGAATTATATTGGAGCAAATCACAGATACAGTAGTTGGCTGTTCGAAGAAATGCCCCATAGGCAGAGGATACCCCTGCACAACTTTAAGAGGGATGAACGTATAGGCCATGTCAAATTCCATCCTTAGTGCTGAGAAGCAGGGGCTGGTGAATCTGGAAGGATCACTGGCATTTGGAAAGTTTCCTATGGTAAAGGAGATGAGATAACAATGACGCTTGGCGCAAACCCTGGCAGTCAGAACATAGGGATTGGTTCCTACTGACCAGAAGCAAACGGCCAGGGCTAGTCACACTAGAATCACTGTGGTGGCTCAGCTGTACCAAGGTATCTGTGCTGCTGTAGCACTGCTCGTGCAGATGCTCTATGCTGACGGGAGAGCGCTCTCCTGTCAGCACAATTACTCCAGCTTCCTGAGCGGCAGTAGCTATGTCAATGGGAGAACTTCTTCCGCCAGCATAGCACTGTCACGTAAGTCTGTGAAACTTACATCGCCCAGGGGTGTGACTTTTCCATGTCCCTGAGCGACATAAGTTATACTGAAGTAAGCGCTAGTGTGTACAAGCTCCAGATTCCCAGCCAGTGTAAACCAGTGCAGCTCCATTATCTTAATCTAGACGTGATAAATCGACTCCCGAGCACCCTCCTGTCGACTCCTGTACTCCAGCTCCGCAGTGTAGACCAGGACTTAGGAGATAAAGACCGGCACAGCTGAGGAACCGTCCCAGTGCAATTGCTCCACAGAGTGTCTACTGGGGATAAGGGAAGGTACAGAAATAAATGTAGTGTAGTACGATGTAGCCTGGTGAATGCTCAGTCAGTGTGGTAAGTAAATCTTTCACACAGCTGTTAGTATACAAAAGCCTATATATTAGTGGAAATTATACAAGTAGTTATCTCAGTGGGATTGTTTATATTCACTCACAAGAGACATAGGCATCACTAGTGTTCCCTCTCTAGCCAGTGATTCACTATATAATCTTGGGGAAATCACTTCACCTCTTTGCACCTCTGTTTCACTATCTGCAAAATGGGGATGATGGTACTTATTTACCTTGGTAAAGCTCTCTGAGATTTACAGATGAAAAGTGCTATACAAGTACTAAGTGTAACTACTTTATTATTTATTTATTAGTGGCCAGAGGGTGGAAAATTTGAAGTCCCTTGGCTTTGCCTCAGGGCCTTAATCCATCTGATAATTAACTACTGAGAAGTCCCTGACCTGAAGGGCATTAAAATGTGAAGTATAAAAATATAAAGACAATTAATGTAATTACCTTTGTATCTCTTGAAAGGTTAAAATTTGAGCTGTACAATAGCATGTTGTCATAGATTCACTGCTTGATTTATAGCAGTTATCTTTTCATAGCAGATAAAGACTGGCAGTTATCAATAGGAAACCAGGACTTCAACCTGAGCATTCTGATAGGTTTATAATTAACTTTATTGACTACAGGTTTATCATATTTTCACAGTCCTGACTTGAAATGCTTTGTGAGAATAAACAAACCTTTCTAAAACTCTGAACTGATAAAATAGTCTTTGTAAAAATAAAACACCGCAGATAACAGAAGAAAAAGCTAATGACAGGACTCCCTTAGGAGGCATAATACCTTGAGTGTGATCCCTGTTCCTAGTACAGTATTTGCTTTTGTCGCTTAGGAAAGTAACCAAAAGACTAAAATATGAACATCTGAGTCCATCCCTGTGCCAGTGCGGGAATTGAGTGCAGATGGCTTGCACCACTGTTCAGGGACTGTGAGGCCAGTTCAGCCCTGGCATAGGATATGAACAGACTCTGCATTGCCATTATCTCCCTGTGGCTTTTGGCAGCAGGGAATTTTCAGGGCACAGGACCACTCCAGCCACACCTCCAACTCCAGCTGACCTCCAGTATGCCCATGGATTACTTTGGAATGCCCCCAGCAACAGAAGCTACTGAGGGAGCAGAGCAGAGCTGCCTCTGTATTTGGCACAGAGGCCCTCTGCTGGTGCTATTCACGGGGTGGGTGGGGTGCGGGGGATGGCTTCTGCCTGCCCTGTGTCTCTTTCCACCAGCTGTGCTACCACAAAGGGGCTGAAGGGCAGTAATGAATCTGGCTCAAAATGTGCAGTAGAACTTCAAGTGCTGTGCCCATTTCAAACTAATAGGGACTGGTTAAACATTTTGGAAGGATAAATAGAGATGTCCTCAATGAGAAAACCAAACCCCGTTTCACAGATCTGTGACTGCATGAGGATATGTCCACTGTAGTTCTCGTCCACATTCTATGACCGTGTGATATGAACCCGCAGAGAAAGGCAAAACATGCCTTTTATCAGGGACAGGACTAGTATTATGGTGTTCCTCTTGAACATAATATGACATGCAGGAAGATCACTTTATTTTATAGCATGGGTGAGCCAGTTAAATTGTGACATATATCGTTACTAATTATGTAATCTGACTCCACCCTGATTAGGACTGAAGACCTACATTTAGGTCTCAGACCACTGAAGTGATTTAAATTAAAAATACATCCTGCATTACAAATGGAAATAGTTCAGGATATTGGTCTTTGCAGTATTGCATATGTCTAGATTTTCTGGGTGTGTTAGCAATGTGGTCGTGAATGACTTATTATCAGCTCTGCTGTGTGACACTATGTCAAGGACAAGTCAGTGAATCAGCTGTATCCATTTATGTGGTAGAGAAAGAGATATAATGTACATTAAGGATTGCCATAAAACAGTTCCTCCTTCTGTGATAAACGAATATGTGCATAATTCATTGCTGATAGTTTCCTTCTATTAGCTTGTTATGTCACCTCAAATATTACAGAGATGTAAAGAAGAAATTATAAGATATGTGAGGAGAGATTTGTTCTGTCAAATGACTTTCACCGAGGCCATGGTCACTTAGTTTATAGTTTGTAGCACTGCACAAAGATAAAAGGTGCAGGAAGCTGCAGAGAATTTAACTTGGAGGAAACTGCAGAAAAATCTTAGAACATGAGATTTCAAATGTATAAACTGCATTGAGCTAAGGGTATCAGTTAAGTTCTGAAGATCTTCTATGTGCCAGTCTTACCAGGGAAATTACCCTAATTAGGCACTTTGCAAGAACTCTCTCTTTTATGAAATCTTGACATTAACTTGAATAAAGTAAAGATCCATACTTAGGCTGTTTTCTGGTTGTAATGTTTTTCCTTGCCAGAAAAATGCAACAAGTAAATCACCAGCAGATGCTACTATTCAGTGAGAAAGCTTTGAAATGGAGTGGTTTAAAAAGTGCTTTGCAGATTACTGTGGCAGGTTACATTATCTATGAGTAAGATGTCCGGGAAATTTGCTGCTGTATTTCTTCCAAATTCTGTAAAGG